AAATTACATATAAATATACCAGATAAATTTGAGAATGAGTACTCCAAATTTTATAAACAAAAATTCTTGCTGGGATTTCAAATGAAATTGTAGCAAATTTAGGTATCAATTTGGAGAGAAAAAGCAAGATGTTTCCAATAATCTTAAATCCTCCCAATTCTGTGAACTAAAGGTCAGTAAAGTAAAATCCTCTCAGTCCTGCTTATGGATTGGGAGGATTAACATCATCAACATGACAATATTCCTCAAGGCATTGTACAAAGACAATGCAGTCCCTATAAAGATACCCATGTCATTTTACAAAGAAATAGATCAAACATTCCTGAAATGTTGGAATTGAAATGTTGGAACGCCTTCAAGAGCATCGAAGAAATAACTAAGAGGATGAAGAACCTTTAACTTCGAGCACATCTCTTCGATTCCACTGTTCTTCCTGCGTTAACATACGCCTCAGAGACCTGGGCCCTATGCAAACAGGATGAGAACGCTATTTGGGTCTCTCAAAGAGGAATTGAAAGAGCTATGCTTGGAGTATCATGCTTCACTCAAATGAGAGAAAGAATCTGGAGTTCTGACCTCTGTCAATGCTCAAGAATCAGGGATGCTGTCTCATTTGCCAAGGCATCGAAAATCAGATGGGCTGGACATGTAATGAGATTTAGAGACGACCGCTGGACTAGAGCCATTACAGACTGGATTCCATGGGATGTCAAAGGTTCGCATGGCCACCCACCTACGAGATGGTCAGAATTCTTCTTCAAGACCCTGAATGATGGGTTTGAGGTTCTTCGTGTTCCTAGAATGAGCAGATGCCACTGGCCTACACTAGCACGCAACAGGGACGAATGGAGATGTTACTGGCACCTGCTTGAGCAAATCAATGAGTAACAGGATATCAAGTGATCAAGTGATTCCTGAAATTTGTACAAAACAAACCCCCTCCCCCTGAATAGATTTTTCCCTGGAAAATAAAGATGGGGACATCTTTTTCTCCAACTTCAGACTATACTACAAAGCAGTAGTATAAAAGACAGAATGGTATTGGAATAAAGAGAGATTTGAGTATTCTGAGACAGACCCTGAAGTATATGATTAGTTAATCTTCAATAAAAGAGCAAAAATATGAAGAGGAGCAAGCAAAGCCTCTTCAACAAATGGTGCTGGGAAAACTAGTCAGCTATACGTAAACAAACAAAAACCCAAAACTCAGACTTCTTTCTAACACAATACACAAGAATCAAATCAAAATGGATTAAAGACCTCAATTTCAGACCTGAATCCATAGAGGAAAAGGTAGACAGAACTCTCCATGACACTGAGGCCAAAGGTGTCTTCAAGGATGAAATATCACTGACCAAAAAAGTGGAAACAAAGATAAATAAAAGGGACTACATTAAACTAAGAAGCTTCTGCATTTCAAAGGAAATGATAAGCAGAATACAAAGACAGCTCACAGAATGGGAAAAATTCTTTCCTCAGCACTCATCTGATAAGAGGCTGGTATCCAAGAAAAATTACAGCTTCATCAAACAAGTAGGGAGAAGAGATGAACAGAAGCTTCCTTGAAGAAAAAATATACAAATGGCCAAAAGGCACATGAAAAAGTGCTCTACATTACTAATTATCAGGGAGACGCAAACAAAAATAACAATGAGATATCATCTTATACCACAGAGACTGGCACACATTAAAAGAACAGCCATGCTGGCACGGATGCAGAAATAAAGGGACACTCATTCACTGCTGGTGGGAATGGTGGTTGGTCCAGCCTTTCAGGAAAACAATATGGACATTCCTCCAAATACTAGTAATTGAGCTTTCATATGACCCAGCTATATCTCTCCTGGGAATATATCTTAGTGTCCCAAAAACACACTGCAGAAAAAGACCTGTATGCTTATGTTTATTGCAGCAATATTCACAATATAAGAATCTGGAAACAACCTTAGTGCCCAAGAACAGAGCAGGGGATAAACAAACTATGGCACATCTACACAATGGAACACTGCAGCTGTTAGGAAAAATGAAGTCATGAAATTTGCTTTTACATGGATGAATATGGAGAATATCATGCTGAGTGAAATCAATCAGAGGGAGAGGAACAAATAATGATTGCACTAATTTGCAGGATATATTAAAAAAAACAGTATGTGACTAATACTCAGTGACAGTAGAAACAAGGGCTAGGAGGACTGGTCTGTTAGGAAGTTTGCCACCAACTGGGAGGGGGAGTGCAGTTACGACAGAGAAGGGACCACTATGACAATAATAATTGGAAATGATCACTCTGGGCAAATGCTTAGTGCTGAAAGGAGGTAAAGTGATATACATGATACCCTTTCGGTAACAGTATAGCAAACCACAGAGCCCAAAGGGAAAATAAAAGAGAAAGAGAAAGAGAGTGAGAGATAGAGAGAGAAGAGAGAGACAGAAAGACAGAGAGAGAGAGAAAGAGACAGAGAGAGAGAATAGAGAGAGAGAGAGAGAGAGAGAGAGAGAGAGAGAGAGAGAGAGAGAGAGAGAGAAGAGGCAGGCTGCGGGAATGGAGGCAGTTGGTAAACTGGGAACATTGGTAGTGGGAAATGTGTACTGGTGAAGGAATAGGTGCTGGAACATTGTATGACTGAAACGCGATTATGTAACTGTATATCTCATGGTGATTCAATTAAAACATCAATAAATAAATAAAATAAAATCAGTCAAAAAATAAATTAGCAAATAAAAACATTTTAAAAATATTTTTCAGAGTGAATTTTGATATTTTTGTGATGCTTTTATTTTTTCCCTATTAAAATAGTCTATTACCCTTTATTTTATGATAATCATAAAATTAATTTACTTATAGTAAATTATAGTTCCATAGTTGAGAAATCATCAAATTTTCATAATAATTTATTATTTTTATGTATTATTGGATTTGATTTGCTAATCATTTGTTTTAAGTATTTCTTTTTATTGAATCACTGTGAGATACAGTTACAAAGCTTTCATGACTGAGTTTCACTCATACTATGATAGAACACCCATCCCTCACCAGTGCACACCTTCCACTGTCACCAGTATCCCTTCCACCACCCCCATTCCATTCCACCCCCTGTCTCTGTGTCAGGTATCTTCCTTCTTATTCTTTCTCTACTTTGGGCATCTCAGCTTGCAATACAGATACTGAGGGGCTACTATGTTTGGTACTTAGTCTATTTTTAGCACACATCTCCTATCCCGAGCAATCCCTCCAACCATTATTGATTTAGTGGACCTTCTCCATCCCAACTGCCTTTCTCCCCTGAACATGAGGCAGGTTTCCAAACCATGGAGCAATCCTCCTGGCCCTTGTCTTTACTGTCGTTAGGTGTTCATATTATGAACTTGGGTATTAGTTCATATTATGTTATTTTATATTCCACAAATGAGTGCAGTCATTCAAAATCTGCCCCTCTTTTCCTGAATTATTTCACTTAGCATGATACTCTCCATGTCCATCCACTTATAAGCAAATTTCATGATTTCATCTTTTCTAGCAGCTGCATAGTATTCCACTGTGTGGATGTACCAAAGTTTCTTTAAACAATTGTCTGTTCTTGGGAACTCAGGTTGTTTCCAGATTCTGGCTATTGTGAACAGTGCTGCAATAAACATACAGAGCAAATGTCATTTCTACTGTGCTTTTTTGCATCCCTGGCATATAGTCCCAGAAATGTCATTGCTGAATCATATGAAAGCTCAATTTCTAGTTTATTAGAAATGTCCATACTGTTTTCCAAAAAGGCTGGACAAGTCAGCATTCCCACCAGCAGTGAATGAGAGTCCCTTTCTCCTCGAATCCAGGCCAGCACTGGTTGCTCTTGTTCTTTTTGATGTGTGTAAGTTTCAGAGGTGTAAGATGATATGCCATTGTTTTGATTTTCATCTTCCTAATTATTAGCAATGTAGAGCATTTTTTCATGTGCCTATTGGCTATTTGTATTTCTTTTCTGAGGAAGTTTCTGTTCATTTATTCTCCCCAGGTTTTGATGGCATTGGAGGTTTTATTCTTGTAAAGTTCTAATAGTGTCTTGTATATTCTGATTATTAGCCCCTTATCTGTTGGATATTGGGTAAATAATTTTCCCATTCCATGAATTCTCTCTTTATTTTGGTCACTGTTTCTTTTGAAGTACAGAAGCTTCTTAGTTTAATGTAGTTCCATTTGTTTATGTTTATTTCCACCTGCTTGGTCAGTGGTGTTTCATTCTTAATGATGCCTTTAACTTCAGTATCACCGACGTTTCTGCTTACATTTTCCTCCATGCACTTTATGGATTCAGATCGGATATTAATGTCTTTAATCCATTTTTATCTGACTGTTGGTCTTGGCATTACACCGAGGTGTAAATTTTTTTTTTTGCATATAGTGGTCTAGTTTTCCCAGCACCACTTGTTGAAGAGGATTTTGTTGCTCCGCTTCACATTTTTTGTTTCTTTATCAAAGATTAAGTTATCCTATACTTGAGAGCTGTTTCAGAATTTTCAATTCTATTCCATTGATTTGCAGGTCTGCTTCTATTCCAATACCATGATGTTTTAATTACTACTGCTTTGTAGTACAGTTTGAAGTTGGGGAACATGATGCCACCATCTTCTTTTTCCCAAGGATTGCTTTAGCTATTCGTGGGGGATTTATTGTTCCATATGAATTTCAGAAGTGTTTTGTTTACTTCTTTGAAAAATGTCATGGGTATCCTTTATTTTTAGAGATGATGCATTTTATGTGTGTATATATATATGTATGTATATATATTTTTTACAAAATATATATACATATATACATATATATATTACATACATATATATGTATGTATATATATTTTTTACAAAGCTGTTCACGAGTATAATTTTAATTATACAGTATTCCAACATCCATCCCTCTACCACTGTAAATATCCCAGCATCAGTGTCCCCAGGTTCCCTCCCATCACTCCCCATTCCCTACCTCCTACCTATCTCTATGGCAGGTGCTTTTCAAAAATATGGAATGCTTCACAAATCTGCGTGTCATCCTTGTGCAGGGCCCATGCTAATCCTCCTTGTAAAATCATATCACTTTTAGTATATGTGCTGCCAAAGCGAGCACGTCATGGTATCCTTATAGGGACCACATTGAATCTGGATAATGCTTTGGGGAATATTGCCCTTTTGACAATGTTAATCCTTCTGATACATGACTAGGGGATGTGTCTATATTTCCTAGTGTCCTATTTTATTTCTTGAAGTAGTGTTTTGTAGTTTTCTTTGTACAGGTTCTTCACGTTTTACTTAAGGATTCCAAGGTACTTATTTTTCTGAGGCATTTTGTGAACAGGATTTTTTAAAATGTCTTTTTTCCTCTTTCATTATTTGTATATAGGAAAGTCATGGATTTTTGATATTGACTTTGTAAGCTGCCACTTTATTATATAAACCTATTTTTTTTTGCAATTTTTTTGGCTGGAACAATAGCACAGCGGGTAGGGCATTTGCCTTGCAAACATCCAACATGGCCAACCTGAGTTTGATTCCTCCGCCCCTCTCGGAGAGCCTGGCAAGCTACTGAGAGTATCTCGCCTGTATGGCAAAGCCTGGCAAGCTACCCATGATGAATTCGATATGCCAAACACAGTAACAATTGTCACAATGGAGATGTTACTGGGTCTGCTCAAACAAATCAATGAACAAGGGGAGGATGGTGACAGTGACTTTTTGGGTCACACCTGGCGATGCACAGTGGTTACTCCTGGCTCTGCACTCAGGAATTACTCCTAGCAGTGCTCAGGGGACCATATGGGATACTGGGAATCAAATCCGGGTTGGCCACATGCAAGGCAAACCCCCCCTACCTGCTGTGCTATTGCTCCAGCCCCAAACCTATCTTTTTCTAGGAGCTTTTTGTAGGGTCTTTAGAATTTTCTAAGTATAGTATCATGTTATCTGCAAACAGCTTGATTCTTCCTTTCCTATATGGATGCCCTTGATATCTTTTTCTTTTCTAACTGCTATGGCAAGTACTTCCAGTATTATATTGAATAGAAGTGGTGAGAGTGGGCAACCTTGTTTTGTCCCTGATCTTAGAGGGAAGGCTCTTAATTTTTTTCCCATGAGAATAATGCTTGCTGTAGGCTTGTGGTAAATGGCTTTGACAAATACTGAGGGAAGTTCCTTTGCCTCCCATTTTGTTGAGGGTTTTTTTTTTTATCATAAATGGATGCTGTATCTTTTCAAATGCCTTCTCTGCATCTATTGATATGATCATTTTTTTATATTTTCTTTTATTGATAGGTGCATCATATTATGTTGATCAACTTGCGAGGTTGAACCATCCTTGCATACCTGGGATGAATCCTACATGACATGGTGTGTGATCATTTTGATAAGTCATTGGATTGTATTTGCCAGTATTTTGTAGAGGATCTTTGTATCTGTTCATCAGGGATATTGGCCTGTATCTCTCTCTCTCTCTCTCTCTCTCTCTCTCTCTTTCCGCATTTGGTTTTAGGGGTATATTTGCCTCATAGAAACTGTATGGAAGTGTTTCTGTTTCTTCGATTTCCTGGACAAGCTTGAACAGGATTGGGAGTAGATCCTCTTTGAAAGTTTGGAAGATCACTCGTGAATTCATCTGAGTCAGGGCTTTTGTTCTTTGGGAGACTTTTGATCACTGTTTCAATTTTCCTGATAGTGAAAGGTCTGTTCAGGTATTCCAAGTCTTCTTGGGTCAGCTTTGGGAGATTATAGTAGTCCAGGAACTTATCCATTTCTTCAAGGTTCTCTTGTTTCGTGGCATAAAGATTCTCAATATAATCTCTGATTATCCTTAGAGTTCCTGAGATTTCTGTTGTGATGTCACCCTTTTCATTTCTAATTCTGTTGTTTAGTTTCTCTCTCTCTTTCTTTGTGAGTATCACTAGTGGTTTATTGATCTTGTTTATTTTCTCAAAGAACCAGCTCTTAGTTTCATTGATCTCTTGGATTGTTTCATGGGTTTCCATGTTATTAATTTATGCTCTAAGTTTTATTTTTTCCTTCCTCCTGGCTGGTTTGGGCTCTTTTTATTGGTTATTTTCTGAGATTTTAAGCTGTTATGTTATTTATGTGGGCTCACTCTTCCTACCTGAGGATTGTTTGTGGACCTATAAACTTTCCTCTCAACACTGCTTTTGCCGTATTCCATAAGTTCTGATTACTAGTGTCCTCATTCTCGTTTGTTTCCAGGATCTTTTCATTTCCTCTTTGATTTCCTCTCTAAGCTACTGGTTGTTCAGTAGTGAGTTATTTAGTTTCAGGTGTTTGATTTGAATTTCTGTTTATGTGTGTGATTCACTTCATTTTCAGAGCATCATGGTCGGAAAAGAATATTGATACAGTTTCCATCCTCTTAATTTTATGGAGGTATATATTTTTTGACTCAACATGTGGAGAATGTCCCATGTGCACTTGAGAAGAATATGTATTCCGCTTTTTGTGGATGGAATGTCATCTATATCTGTATATGTCTACTAAGCCACTTTCTTCCATTTCTACTCTCAGATAAAGTATGTCCTTATTGAGCTTGAGTCTAGTTGATCTATCGAGAGGTGATAAAGTGGTGTTAAAATCTCCAACTATTATTGTGTTGCTATAGATGCCTTTCTTCAGGTCTATGAGAAGTTGTTTTAAGTACTTTGCTGGTCCCTCATTAGTTGCATATACATTTAGGAGTGTGAATTCTTCCTGATGTACAGATACTTTGATCATTAAGAAATAACCTTCATTGTTTCTTGCAATCTTCTTCAGTCTGAAATCTATGTGATTGACACTAATATGGCCACCCCAAGGTTTTTGAAGAAGTTGTTTGCTTGTAGAATTGTTTTGTATCCTTTGAATGTGAGTCTGTATTCACCCTGACTGTTTAAATGTGTTTTTTGCAGGCAGCACATGTGTCTGATAAGACACATCCTTATCAGAATGACAAAGATCATACTTTTTGTCCCCTACAGTTGGGCTATCTTTGTGTATTACCTTGGGTTATTGAAAGGTAAAGAATTGTGAGGTCTGAGTTAATTAATATCTCGAATGTTGGGTATAGATGAAGTAACTTCTTTGTGTGGATGCTATTGTGTCTGTGCAGTTTTGGGGCTAGAGATTTTAAAGGTATGCCATGAAGGTTGGATGCGGGGATGATACTGTGGGGCCACACACCTGCTTTTAGAAGTTAGATCGGAGCTTTGGGACCAACGACTAGCAGTGGAAGGCAGTTCCCTTGCGGGGTTCTGGAAGTCTGAAGTTCACTCTGGGTGGAAGGCCAGGTTTCAGGCTGAGGAATAGGAATTAATTGGCCGCCGGGGTCTGGTTTGAGAACTTGTTAAGGATTTTTATCTCGATTATAAATTTGTTTATATTTTTTTCTTGTAATGTTATTTTGATTTCATTAATTTTTTCCAATACACTTTTAACATAATATCATAGTTTAGAATAGTATTGAAGTTATTGTTTTATATTTATAGTACTGCTATTTGAATCCTGCCCCTAGCTTGCCTTTACTATTGTATACCCAAATTTCTTTCCTTCACCCCCTTAGTCTTTTTAGTTTTCACTTCTATTACTTTTTGCCACACTCTGTTGTGCTCAGAGCTTACTTCTGGCTCTGTGCTCAGGGATCATTCCTGATGGTTATCTGGAGACCATATGCGGTGCTGGAGATTGGACCTGGGTCAGACATCACGATCACCATCATGACCATCCTGTTGTTCGCTGATTGCCTGAGCAGGCCCCAGTAACGTCTCCTTCGTCCTAGCCCTGAGATTTTTTTAAAAAAAAATTGCCATATTAAAGGCTCTTCCAGGATTAGGAGAATGAGACCCATCATTGTTACTGGTATTTGGCATATTGGGTTCACCACGGGGAGTTTGCCAGACTCTGCTGTGTGGGCAGGTTACATTTGGTAGCCTGCCATTTTGTCCAAAATAAGAAAGAGATAATAAGATGTCACACAGCCGAAAATGCGGCCACATGCTTCCGGGAGCTGGGTTTTATAGTCTCTGGGTCTTGGCCGTTGATGGGATTACATGGCGCCAGGAGGTCAGTTGGTAGGTGTGACCAGTGCCTACTGGAATATGGAGGATCTGGGTGGAGGATGCTCAGTCCCAATCTGAGCAGGCTTGGAGATCTCAGCCCCGGGACCCGCATGCCTTTGTTCCTCTGCTGGTACCTTCATACATGTGGAGAGTGGTCTCAGCATGGAGGTGGGTAGTTCTGGAGGTCTTCGACTGCCACAGCCCTGGTCGGGATGGGGAGGGAAACTCAACCCGCTCCCCTCCAAGGGGCCTCGGTGAGGAGAGCCAGGCACGAGGGCAGGAGACTCTGTGCTGTTCTCTTCCAGGAGCTGAGTTTTGCAGTCTCATGGGAAGGGGGACGGTACTGGCTCGTCCTTCACGCCCTACTGAAGTCATGAGTTGCCCCCAACAAGCGGCTCTCTGGCATGGCCATGGCTCCAGAGGCAAAAGGACTTAGTCCAGAGCCCAGCAGCTTGCAGAAGAAAAGTGAATGGACCATGCGTTAAACTATGGCGCCATGCCTTCCCGGGAGGGAAAGGGTGTTGCTCTCTTCCACCTTTTTCCCCCCTGGCAGCAAGGTGGCTGCCGCCTCAGAGCTTATAGCTTATAGGAAAGCCAGGTATGAGCTGGCGGTGACAGGGCAACAGCAGTCTCATGGGAAGGGGGGCGGTACTGGCACGTCCTTCACACCCTACTGAGGTCACGAGTTACCCCCCACGAGCAGCTCTCCAGCACGGACATAACAGCAGACACACAGAAACCAATCTCGTAATTATCTCGCTCTTTGCAGAAATCCAAAATCGTGGCCACGTGACATTATATGATTCTCATAACCAGATATAGAAAACAAAATATTTCACAATGCCTTTTCAGCAATTCTGATTGTTTTGGGGGAAATTCTAGACAATAATGGTGCATCTTTTGTCGAAATAATGAATGTAATCAATGTAGAGAAGAGTTAAGTGGAAATTATCTGCCTCACAGGCATTTGGAGGGGTGGGATGGGGGGGGTGTTCTTGGTGGTGAAAAATGAGTACTGGTGAAGGGAAAGGTGTTTGACCATTGT